CTGTGTGTGTCTCCCACTGTGTGTGTGTATATATATCTCTGTCTGGATGTGTGTGTCTGTCTCACAGTGTATGTCTCTGTCTGTGTGTGTGTGTGTGATTATCTGGGGGTGTCTGTCTCTCGGTATGTTTCTCTATCTATCCGCGTGTAGTCTTTCTGTATGTGTCTCTCTGTGTGTCTCTGTGTATGTGTCGCTCTGTGTGTGTCTGTGTTCTGTCTCTCAGTGTGTGTGTCTGTGTCTCTGTTTGGGAGTGTGTGTGTTTCTCTCAGTTTGTGAGTGTGTGTGTGTGTGTCTCCGTGTCCGCGTATGTATGAGTGTGTGTGTCTCTCTATATGCATTTGTGAGTGTCTATGTGTGTCTCTGTTTGTCTGTGTATCTCTCTGTTTGTGTGTGTCTGTTTGTCTGTGTATCTCTCTGTTTGTGTGTGTCTGTGCGTTGTTGTGTGTCTGTGTCTCCTTCTCTGTGTGTTTGTGGATGTGCCTGTGTGTGTCTCTCTATGTGTGTGAGTGTCTCTCTGTGTCTGTGAGTGTGTCTATCTATGAGATATCCTCCCGATGTGAAAGTCGCTACACAAATGGTACCTCTCTCTGCCTCTGTGTGTGTGTATGTGTCTGTCTCCTCTCTCTCTATGTCTTTCTGTGTGTATCTGTGGGTCTATCTACTGTATCCCAAGCTATTATTTTCTAGCAGAAATCTATCTAAATCTATCTTTCATCTTAAACAAATGACATTTTCTGAATTGTGCAGTTCTGTAGTTCAGTGGTAAGAGCGCTCACCTTGTAAGTGAGAGATCTGGGTTCGCTTCCCCTCTGGGGAAACGTTGGGCAAGTTTCCTTACTTCACACGTACCCACACGCCTCTGTTTATCAGAAGTAAGTAGAAACCTGGTTGTTAGTCGATTGGCGGATTGCTTTTCTGGGGGTAATAATTCCTTCAAAACTTTTGTCCACAAATATAGTCAATTCACCTGACAGTAATTCTGTGAAGCGCTTTGAGACATCTCAAAGACGTGATAAGACGTTAGATCAAATGCAAGGATGAATATATTATTACATTGTGAATTTGGTGATTGACTGTTGTGTGTGTTTTGTATTACAGAGCAGGTGGGAGCTTTCAGTCTGACCGTCACTGAGAGTCAGATAGAAGCCACAGCCGGACAATCTGTGTACTTCCTGGTAATGCCCAGTGAACTGGGAAATTTTAGTATAATATGGAAAGTCAACACCAGCTCCACAATCGCATCAGCAAAGGGAACAGCAGTGAAGTACTTTGGAGACTACCAGGGTCGGGCTGAGCTTTACCCCAACAATGCCACTCTACGTCTGGACACAGTGACTCCGGCTGATTCCGGTTCGTACTCAGTGTCTGTGTTTGACTTAATCCTCGGAGCAGCCTCAGCAGATTTACAACTGCGTGTTCACAGTGAGTAAACAACAACAGCGCCCTTCACGCGGAGTGTCCCGGAGCACTTTGCAGGGGCCGAGTCTGACCCGACCGGGGGGGGAGAGGGAGAGGAAGGCGGTGACTGTAAACACGATCAAACTGGAAGGTCTTTAGGCGCGATTTGAAGGTGGGGAGGGAGGGGCGAGGCGTTGGGATTGAGGGAGAAAGTGACGCAGTGGCTGAAGACACAGCCATTGATGGTGGAGTGGAGGGGACGAGGGACAAACAAGACAAGGATGGAACCAGCCAAGAGGAGGCACCGAGAGGTGCAGTGGGTGGGTGAGCAGGTCGGAGAGTTAGGGCAGTACCATGGCATGAAGGGATTTGAAAACGAGTGAGATGATCTCAAAATCGATCTGTTTGGTGATACGGAAACAGTGGAGCCTGGCGAGGGCGGGGTGATGGGGTACAGAGTTTAGTGTGTGATAGGGAGCCAGTGGGGCCTGGCGAGGGCGGGGTTGATGGGGTACAGAGTTTAGTGTGTGATAGGGAGCCAGTGGGGCCTGGTGAGGGCGGGGGCGAGGGCGGAGGTGATGGGGTACAGAGTATAGTGTGTGATAGGGATCCAGTGGGGCCTGGCGAGGGCTGGGGGTGATGGGGTACAGAGTTTAGTGTGTGATAGGGAGCCAGTGGGGCCTGGCGAGGGCTCAGGTGATGGGGTACAGAGTTTAGTGTGTGATAGGGCCAGTGGGGCCTGGCGAGGCGGGGGTGATGGGGTACAGAGTTTAGTGTGTGATAGGAGCCAGTGGGGTCTGGTGAGGGCGGGGGATGGGTTACAGAGTTTAGTGTGTGATAGGAAAGCCAGGCAAGTGCCAGTGGATCTTGGGAGCAAGGGAGGGGGGGAGAAAGAGAGGGGGAGAGAGGGGAGTGAAAAAGAGTGGGGGCAGAGAGAGGGAGGGGGGGAGAGGGAGGGGGAGTGTGAGGAACAGCGACGTATTTGCTCTGCTCTCCTGACAGACTGCAGTAAAGGCTCTGGTCGCTGGGTCTTCCCAACCATCAGCTCCTGCCGCTGACCAGGGAGGGAGGGAGGGAGGGCGGGAGTGGAAATGGCCTCAGGTTGGATGTGGCTCGTGGATCTTTGACAAATAGGGGAATCCGGCCCACGGCAGCCACCCTGCTTCAGAGCATCGGTGAGAGCAGGGTGGGCCAACTGGTGGCCCACGGGCCGCATCCGGCCCCCGGGCCCATTTCATTTCATTCATTAAGCCAATAAACCTGGACTGTGAGCTCCAAGAGTGGGGCTTTAAACCATAACATTGTGCTACCAAATGAGCCAGACTGAGACCTGAATAAACAGTGAATCATAACAAACAGCGTCAGAAATAAAGTGTAGGGTTCAGCAAAGTGACTCTGAACAGGTCTGTGTCAGTGAAGTGAATCTGAACAAGTTTCTGAATGAAATGAAACGCGTTATCTTACAGCTCCGGTGTCCAATGTGAGCATCAGCCTGAGTCCAGACAAGGAGATATTTATCGAGAATAAAGACACAGTGACACTAAGATGTACAGCAATGGGATCGTTCCCCACCTATTCCTGGGCACTGGATGGACACCCGTTACCTGTAACCCCACGTTACACACTGTCTGCAGATAATAGCACTCTGACAATCAGCCCCGTACACAGGAGCGACAGTGGAGGGTTTATCTGCACGGCCAGTCACCTGGTGGGCAGTGACAGCAGCAAACCAGTGAAGCTGGTGATAACTTGTGAGTATATTTGCTGTTGTGTTAAAACCAGATCAACGTGAGCTGAACAGGACAGTGCAGTTGGCCCACGTATATCCCTACTTGTTCCAGCCTGGCTCAGCTCTCTATAAGTCAGAAGGTTGTGGCCTCACGTCAGTACTTGGAACTCATGTAGTCCAGACTGAAGCGCCAATGCAATGCTGGAATATTCTACATTGGGGTTTGATGCTGTGAATAGAGAAACAAACAGTGGGGTCCTGTAGTGGTTGGAGCCCTCACCTCGCAAGTGAGAGGACTTTGGTTTGATTCCACCAATCGACTAATAACCGGGTTCCTAATTACTGCTCAGTAAACAGAGGTGTGTGGGAGTAGGGAAACTTGGCCGACGTTTTTCTCTATCAATAATATAATAATCCTTGCATTTGATACAGCGCTTTTCACGTCTTCTGGACGACTGAAACGCTTCACAGAATACACTGTAAAGTGAATTGACTGTATATGTTATGAGCAAAACGCAGCAGCCAATTGCACACAGCAGCGACCCACAAACAGTCAGAGGTCTGTGATACATGTAAAAAGACTGTTTCTCTCACACTATCATCTGCCATCCATTTATCTATCTATGCATAGTTTAATGCTTTTTCTTTCAGATGGCCCTGATCCACTCACCTTTATTGTGAGTGGGCAGGTGATATGTGACAGTTTGGTCCCAGGACAGTACTGTGGGAAGGAGGGAGATTTGATGACCCTCAACTGTCAGACGAAATGTTTCCCAGAGTGTAACTACAGGTGGACACATAACACCACAGTCATTGCCGGCAACACCTCACAGCTGCCTATAGAGAGCCTCACGTTCAACAACAGCGGGGATTACACTTGCAATGTGAAGAATGATTACACCACGATTAGCCGCACGGAGAAGGTTTCAATCCTCGTGTACAGTGAGTTAGTTATCTCAGTCAAAAATGTCATGGTGTAAACAACAACAGTGGCTTTCATATCAGGACGACGTCCCAAGGCACTGGATAGTCAGGGATCCGCACTCGAGGTGGGGGTTGGGATAAGGAGGGGTGGAGGGCGGGTAGGGTTGGAATAGAAGGATGACTGGAGGCATGGCCGGTCGAAGAGGAAGGCCTTGAAATGGGTCTTTAAGGTGGCCTGGACTTGGGTATAGAGAGCACAATTGCCAAGTTTGGAGCCTGGGCAGGACTGGGGTGATGGGGGTACAGAGTTTAGTGTGTGATCAGGAGCCACACACATGATACTAAGCTAAGAAAAGTAGTAAACAGTGAGGAGGAGAGTAACAGACTGCAAGAGGACATAGACAGACTGGTAACATGGGCAGACATGATGAAGTTTAATGTGGAGAAGTGCAAAGTGATGTATTTTGGGACGATATACTGTAAAGTGAATTGCCGGTCTATTTTGTGGGCGAAACTCTGCAGCCAATTGCACACAGCAGTGTCCCACAAACAGTCGTGGATTGGGGCAGAGAGGCTGAAGGCCCAACCGCTGATGGTGGGGCAGGTGGGCGGGGGGCATGAAGCAGGCCGGAGCCCGCTGAGCAGAGGGAGCGGAGGTAAGGAGAGAGGAGTGAGGTTGTAGAGGACATTCAAGGTGAGGACCAGGATCTTGAACTGAAGCAGAACAGCTTTGTGTTAAGTAAAGTAAATCCGGATGAAATGAAACACTTTATCTTACAGCTCTGCTGTCCAATGTGAGCATCAGCCTGAGTCCAGACAAGGAGATATTTATCGAGAATAAAGACACAACGACATTGAGGTGTACAGCGATGGGATTGTTCCCCACCTATTCCTGGGCACTGGGTGGACACCCGTTACCTGTAACCCCACGTTACACACTGTCTGCAGCTAATAGCACTCTGACAATCAGCCCCGTACACAGGAACGACAGTGGAGGGTTTATCTGCGCGGCCAGTAACCCGGTGAACAGTGACAGCAGCAAACCAGTGAAGCTGGTGATAACTTGTGAGTATATTTGCTGTGGTGTTAAAACCAGATCAACGTGAGCTGAACAGGACAGTGCAGTTGGCCCACGTATATCCCTACTTGTTCCAGCCTGGCTCAGCTCTCTATAAGTCAGAAGGTTGTGGGTTCAAGCCTCACGTCAGTACTTGGAACTCATATAGTCCTTCCTCCACTCATAGAAACACACATAGACATGGCTCTGCTGACCTGCAGTAAGTGGGAACCTACTTGTCAGTTCATTGCCGGATCACTTTCTGGAGGTAATAACCACTCCATAAAATGTCAACCAATTGCACACAGCAGTGTCCCACAAACAGTTGGGGATTCAGGGACCAATTCATTAATATTATTTTTTGAAGGAATTTTTACCCTCGGAAAAGCGATCCATCAGTCGACTAACAACTGGGTCCCCACACACTGCGAGGTAAACAGAGGCGTGCGGAGTAAGGAAACTTGCCCAATGTTTTGCCCTATAAATAATATAATAAACCTTTCATTTGATGCCGCGCTCTTTACGTCTTTGAGACAACTCAAAATGCTTCACAGAATATATTGTAAAGTGAATTGACTGTATATTTGTGGGTGAAACACAATTGCACACAGCGTCGTCCCAAAACAGCCGTGGATTGAAGTGCCCAATTTACTATTAGTTTCTTTCTGGAGGGGTTATTATCAGGCGTGTGGAGTAAGGAAACTTGCCCAAGCATTCGCACCCTGATGGGAATTGAACTCAAGTTCACTTACGAGGCAAATGCTCTAACCACTGAGCAACAGGACTCCACTATTGTTATTATCATTGAAGAGCCGCTGTTTGGATGAGACGTTAAACTATCTGCCTGTTCAGGTTAAAGATCCCATCACTATCTGAGTGTCAATCGGCCACTTGACTGTAGAGGGCCCCACAGACAAACCTAATCTCCCCACCAGACTGCAACACCCACACTTGAGCCCGAGAGGGAGTTTAGGGACCAGGAGCAGGAACCCCGACTCGCTTTAAACTCCATGACCCAAAGTCAGCCTCACGTGACCTGAGCTGCAATAACAGTAAAGATAATAACAATAATAATGATCATAGTCATGATCATCAGAATAATAATCATTCTTGCACTTGATATATCGCCTTATCAAGCGAGAGGACCTGGGTTTGATTCCCGCGCAGGTCAGGACGAAAGCTTAGGCAGGTACATTACTCCACCCAACACTCGCCCCCACCCCCACCCCCCCACACACATACACCCCACTGTTTAGCAGCGCCAATGTCTTGGGACGTCCTCCCGACGTTAAGGACGCCCTATAAATGTAATATTATTGTTGTTGTATTTTGTTGTTTACCTAACAGTAAGCGGGAACCCTTGTTAGTCGATTGCCAGATCACTTTTCCGAATGTATTAACCCCTCCAAAAAAAACACCTCCTCACGTCTCAAATCACTTCACAGAATATACTGTAAAGTGAATTGACTGTATATTTTATGGATGAAACACAACAACAACAACAGGATTACATTTGTATAGCGTGTTTCACATCGGGAGGATGTCCCAAGGCACTGGACAGTGACAGCATTTCAGACCCGAGCTGGAGTCACGGGGGGAGAAGGGAGGGGCGGGGAAGGGGGATGGCCGATGGCATGGTCGAAGAGGAGGGTCTTGAGGCGTGACTTGAAGGAGGCTAAGGAGGGCGTGAAGCGGAATGACTGGGGGATAGGATTCCAGAGGTTGGGGGCAGAGTGGCTGAAGTCTCTCCCGCCAATGGTGGGGTGGGTGGGTCGGGGGACGGCAGCCAATTGCGCACAGGAGGGACCCACAAACAGTCGGAGGTCTGTGATACATGTAAAAAGGCTGTTTCTCTCACACTATCATCTGCCACCCATTTATCTATCTATGTCATCACTTAATGTTTTTCTTTCAGATGGCCCTGATCCACCCACAGTATATATGAGTGGGCAGTGATATGTGACAGTTTGGTCCCAGGACAGTACTGTGGGAAGGAGGGAGATTTAGTGACGCTCAACTGTCAGACGAAATGTTTCCCAGAGTGTAACTACAGGTGGACACATAACACCACAGTCATTGCCGGCAACACCTCACTGCTGCCTATAGAGAGCCTCACGTTCAACAACAGCGGGGATTACACTTGCAATGTGAAGAATGATTACACCACGATTAGCCACACGGAGAAGGTTTCAATCCTCGTGTACAGTGAGTTAGATCTCAGTCAAAATTGGCACTGTCTAAATAACAACACATGGCATTTACACAGTGGCTTTCACGTCAGGAGGATGTCTCAAGGCGCTGGACAGTCAGGGACCCACATCTGAGCTGGGGTTGCTATCAGGAGGGTTGGAGGGCAGGGAGATGGGTGTAGGAGGGTGACCGAAGGCACGGTCTGTCGAAGAGGAGGATCTTGAGATAGGTTTCGAAGGAGGTGAGGGAGGCGTGGCAGAGGGATTGTGGGAGTTTCAGAGGGTGGGTCAGAGAGGCTGAAGGGGATGGGCGGGCGGGGAACATGGAGCAGGCCGGGAGCCCGCTAAGCAGAGGGAGCGGACCGGTTGGTCAGGGATTAGGAGGTCACAGAGGTAGGGAGGGAGGAGTGAGGCCATGGAGGGCTTTAAAGCTGAGCACCAGGATCTTGAACAGTATCCTCTGAGGGATGGGGAGCCAGTGGAGCCGGGCGAGGGTGGGGACAACTCAAGGTGGAGCCAATAACTGGACTGTTTGTCTTTGCCTTGTTCAAGGGGCTCCCACACAGCGGATCACATGCGGGAGCAGCAGATAAAGGAACAGCATTGGTGTTGATGTGCTCCTGGGCTGGTGGGGTGCCAGACTCTGTCCTTCAGCTGAAGGTTGGACAGACGACTGTCAATGCGACAAACGAGGGGAATGTCACCATCACAAAGGATCAGCTCAGCTCCCGAGGAGATCTTCACATGTGTTGGACGCCATGTTGTCTCTGACAGTCAATGCTCTATAGTTATTGGTGAGGACTTGAGGGGCTGGAAACAGCAACAACGATGACAAATTTACACTTGTATAGCGCCCCTTCAACGTCGCAAAAGATGTTCCAGGACGCTGCACAGTCAGGGTTTTTGGACCTGAGCTGGGAGTTGGGGGCAGGAGGGGGTGGAGGACAGGGGGGGGTGGGTTTTGGGGGTGGGAGGGTGGCCTGAATGTGCGGGTTGGTCGAAGAGGAAGGTCTTTAGATGGGATTTAAGATGTCTCGATGGCGTGATAAGGCGCTGTATCAAACAGGAGGATTATTATTATTCCTACTGACTGTTGGGGTGACTGTGTTGCTGTTTTGCTGAACGCTGTCTGTGCTGTTACACAGATAAACCCCAGAGAGCGTCAGGGTCTGAGCCTCAGGTGGAAGTGGGGAAGGAGGCAGATGTGACCTTAGACGTGTCACTGACAGACACAGTGCGGGTGTCAGACCCTGGCCTGCTGCCCGCACACTTACATGGTCGAAGGAAGACAACTTCCATCACTGGGCTCTGACGACAAGTTTCAACATACCTCAGGACTACCTTCTCTAAACTGCTCATCAGTAAATTCCAGGCAAACCGATCAGGGCACATATCAATGCCGTGTCACTAACGCAAGGGAGAGAACTTCTCCAATTTGACGTGACTTTGAAAGGCGGAGGTAAGTTTATTGATATTTGACACACACACAGACACACACCCACAGACACACACACACACACACACACACACACACCGCAGACACACATAGACACACATACACACACAGATGTGCACTCTGTTTATCAGCAGTAGGTAGGAACCCGCTGTTAGTCAATTGACGGTTCACTTTCTGGGGGTCATAATCCCTCCAAAAAAACAAAAAATCTGGGTCAATCAATCCACGACTGTTTGTGGGTCACCGCTGTGCGCAATTGGCTGCTGTGTCCGCCCACAAAAATACACAGTTACTACACTTTACAACAACGTGATAAGGCGCTGTATCAAATGCGAGGATTGCTATGATTTACATGAGGTCTGTGCTGTGGTCTCTATGTTACGAGAGTATAATCTAATAGAGAGACAGTGAAGGTGTTTTCTCTCCGCAGTGAATGTGGCCCTGATAGTGGGGACAATGTGGGGGCTGTGGGCTGTGGTGGTCATTGCAACACTCGCTGTGGTGTACGTTTACAGGAAACGTAAGGAAGGTGAGGCCGTATATACACAGGAAAACCTTTCACCTTCATGTTCTGTAGTTTATTATACCAGCCCAGACCCCCCTCAGCCACTCACCCTCTCACTGTCCTCTCTCTCTGCAGTCTCTTACCCCTCCGTCTCTCTCTATCTGTCTCTAGCCCCTCCATCTCACTCTCTTTCACTATCAGTCTCTCCCACTTTGTCTCTCTCTCTCTATCAGCCTCTCCCCCTCCCATTTCACCCTCTCTTTTCTATCAGTCTTCTACCCCTTCTCTCTGTCACCCTCCATCACTCTCAGTCTCTCCCTCTCCATTTCACCCACTCTTTTCTATCAGTTTCTACCCCTCTCTCTCTATCACCCTCCATCTCACTCTCTGTCAGTCTCTATCCATCCATCTCCCCCTCTCGCTATCAATCACTCCTCCTCCGTCTCACTCTCTCTCACTTTCAGTCTCTCCCTCTTTATCTCACTCTGTCAGTCTCTCCCTCTGTCTCACACTCCCTCTATTAGTCTCTATCCACCTCCATCACAAACTCAATCAGTCTCTACCCTCTCCGTCTCACTCTTCCTCCATCAGTCTCTCCCCCTCCATCTTTCTCTCTCTCTCTATCAGTCTCTCCCACTCCATTTCACCCTCTCCTTTCTATCAGCCTCTACCCCTGTCTCTCTATCACCCTCCATCTCACTCTCTATCAGTCTCTATCCATCCATCTCCCCCTCTCTCTTTCAATCGCTCCCTCTTTGTCTTTCTGTCAGGCTTTAACCCTATCTCTCACTACCAATCTCTCTCTCTCTCTCTGTCTCTCTATCAGTGCCTCCTTCTCCGTTTCTCTCCAAGTTCACCGGTTCAGCAAATGTACAAACTCTTGTATATTTTCAAGATTTTCTACGATTTCAAGATCCTCTCACTCGTTTTCAAACCCCTTCATGCCCTGGCACCTCCCTACCTCTCCGACCTGCTCACCCCCCACCGCCCCCACACCGGCCTCCTATTTGTCCCTCGTTCCCTCCATCCCACCATCAGAGGCTGTGCCTTTGAATAAACAAGTTGTTGTTTATTTTCCAGCCAAAACACAGCAAGAGACAGAGGGTGAACCATACTACGAGACCATTGATGTCAGAGTAAGTGCTGTGCAGTCCTGTAGCTCAGTGGTTAGAGCCCTCGCCTCTCAAGCGAGAGGATCCGGTTTTGTTTCCCGGACAGGGCAAAACCTTAGGCAATTGACTCCCCTTTGATACGACTCAAAGACGTGATAAGGCACTGTATCAAATGCAACGATTATTATTATTTTTGAAACCACACAGTCACTACTCTTTACCGTGTATCAAGATTTCAAGATCCTCATCCTCACCTACAAGGCCATTCACGGCCTCGCTCCCTCCTACCTCTCCGACCTACTATCCCCCTACCTACCTGCCCGTACCCTCCGTTCCTCTGGCTCCGGTCTGCTCCACGTCCCCCGCCCCAATCGCCCTACCATCGGTGGTCGGGCCTTCAGCCTCTCAGCCCCAGGCTCTGGAACTCTATCCCCCAGTGCCTTCGCCGCTTCCTCCCTTTCCTCCTTCAAGGCCGGTCTCAAAACCTTTCTCTTTGACCGAGCCTTCAGCTCCCCTCTCGACTCTCTTCCCCCTCCTCGCTCCCTCCCTTCCCTCCCCTTACCCTGACCATTTCCCCCCTGCTCGGGTCATGACCCAACTGTGCAGCGCTTGGGACGTCCTCCTGACGTGAAAGGCGCTTTATAAATGGAATCTTGTTGTTGTTGTTGTTGTATCCTGTGAAGCGCTTTGAGATGTTATGAAGACGTGATAAGGCACTGTATGAAATGCAATGGTTATTATTATTTACTGCTAACGACATTGCTAATGAATAGCTAAACTGTGTTTGGTTATATTTTAGGCTTCCTCTGCCAATGTCTCCCAGAAGGATTCAGGCCCTTACATGGTGAGGAAACAAATGGCTGACACGGACAGTGTGTCAGCCCGGCTCAGTCTCTTGCTGTCCCAACTCTGTCCTTTACGACCCTAAACTGTCCTTCATCCCCTCATCCGTGCCATGACCTGATATGCCTTCCCCACCTCCGCCATATTGCCCGGCTCGCCACTGTCTCTCACCGCAGGCCACCGAGGCCCTCATCCATGTGTTCACCACAAACAGGCTTGACTTTGCCCCTCCCTGCTTGTCGGCCTCCCAACGCCTCCCTCTACAAACTGCAGATCATCCAGAACTAACTCTGCAGCTCCCCATACCCCCTAACAACCTGTCCGCTCTCTCTGCTCAGCGGGCTCCGGCCTGCTTCACATCCCCCGCCTCACCTGCCCCACCATCGGTTGGGCCTTCAGTTACTCTGCCCCACCCTCTGGAACTCCATCCCACAGTCCCTCCATCCCACCCCATCACTCCCTCACCTCCTTCAAGGCCTGTCACAAGACTTTCCTCTTCAACCTGGTCACCTTCCTAACCCCTACCTCGCCACCATCCACCCCGTCCTGATCCCAACCCACAGCTCAGATCCAAATCCCTGACTGTCCAGGTCCTTGGGACGTCCTCCTGATGTGAAAGGTTCAGTGTAAAATGTTGTTAGTAATGGTCTGTCCGATCTGCATTGTGTTTCAGGACCTTGGAAAGCACCAAAAAGATATTTATCACAATTTACGTCGTAATGGCACCAGGAAGTAGATAGCTGTGACAACGTAGATCGATTTCAAGATCCTTTCAATCATCTACAAATCTCTTCAGGCTCTGGCACCTCCCTACCTCTCTCTCCGACCTGCTGACCCCCCCAACCCACTACCCACTGCCTCCTCTCGGCTGCCTCCGGCCTCCTGCGTGTCCCTCGTGCCCTCTGATCCATCATGGGGGTCGTATTGTCAGACTTTGGAGCTCTCTCCACCGATCCCTCCGCCTTTCCCCCTTTCCTCCCCTCTCCTATCCTTCCCCCTCTTTTAGATCAAGACTGAAAATCTTTCTCTTTGACCATGCTCACGGTCACCTTCTGCCTGTCTCTCCCCTCCAACTGGCTCTGCGTCAGGCTCCACCACTCCGAGACGCTACCCTCATAAAGGGCGCTGTGTAAATACAAGTTGTTGTTGTTGTGACTTATCGGCTCACTGAGAAGTTAATGTTATTTACCAGGAGTTCAGTATTCAGGGTGAAACGTAGGGCAAGTTTCCTTACTCCACACACACACACACAGACACATACGCAGACACAGACTCACACACACACATACTCACAGAAACGCACACACAGACATACACACACAGACATGCACACACAGACATACACACGCACACGCGTTTGCCTCTGTTTACCAAGCAGTAAGTAGGACCTCGCTTGTTAGTCAGCAGCCAATTAATTGCACGTGCACAGAGGTGCCCACAAACAGTTGCGGATTGAAGTGACCAATTTGTCTTTTTTGCAAGAATTACTATTATTACTATTATTATTAGTGAGAGACCTGAGTTCGATTCCTGGCCGGGCGAGGCCTTGGACAAGTTTCCTTACTCCACACCCTGATAATAATCCCTCAAAAAAAACAATAATAAATTGGTCATTCCAATCCACGACTGTTTGTGGGACACTGCTGTGTACAATTGGCTGCTGTGTTTCACCTACAAATGTAGTCAATTCACTATTCTGTGAAGCGCTTTGAGACGTCTAGAAGACGTGAAAAGCGTATATCAAATGCAAGGATTATTATTATTATTATTATTATTGTTGTTATTACCATTATTATCCCAGTCAGCTGGTACAGGACAAGGTACAGGAATCTGAGGCCACGAGCCAGCTTTATGAGTGAGCTAATCTTACAATGGCTTTCACTTCCACATGAAATCACTGCTTCAAACCAACTGAAACCTTTGAGCTGTACAGCGATTAACTCCAGACATTCCTAACTCACAGGTCACTGAGCTCCGGGTGGTTAACCTGTCAGGGGTTTTATCGTTGGAGTCCTGCAGCTCAGTGGTTACAGCACTCGCCTCACAAGCGAGAGGACCTTTGTTCGATTCCTGGGCGGGTCGGGGCATAATGTCCTTATTTCACACGCACACGCCTCTGTTTACACTGCAGTAAGTAAGAATACGGTTGTTAGTCGACTGGTGGATTACTTTTCTGGGGGTAATAATCCTTACAAAAAATAATATATTGGCTACTTCGATCCACGACTGTTTGTAGGACACTGCTGTGCGCAATTGTCTGCCGCGTTTCACCCACAAATATACAGTCAATTCACTTTACAGTGTATTCTGTGAAGAGCTCTGAGATCTCGAAGACGTGTTAAGGCGCTATATCAAATGATTATTATTATTATTATTATGGAATCACAGAATCTTACAGCACAGGCGGAAGCCATTCAGCCCATCGTGTCTGTGCCGGTTCTTTGAAAGAGCTGCCCAATCAGTCCCACTCCCCCGCTCCTACCCCGTATCTCTGCATATTTTTCCTTTTCAAGTCCCTGTCCAATTCCCTTTCCGGCAGTGCGTTCCAGACCGTAACAAATCGCTGCGTAAATATCCCCTCGTCTCCCCTCTGGTTCTTTTCCCAATTATATTAAATCTATGTTCTCCCGTTACTGACCCACACACCAGTGGAAACAGTTTCTCCCTATTTACTCTATCAAAACCCCTCATCATTTTGAACACCTATATTAGATCTCCCCTATCCTCCTCTTGCTCTAAGGAGAACAATCTCAGCTTCTCTCGTCTCTCCACATTTCTCTCTTGTTATCTTCTTCTGGTAATAAAATTCCTTTGGTTTGACCGCAATAATTCCATCTTGTGTCAGAGGTTAGGAGTGTGGTGGGGTGCACACTATCCCTGACAGTCACTACACAGTCACTGAACACACAGTCACTACACTTTACAGTAGCATATCCTGCTAAGCTCCTTGAGCCACTTCAATGACATGATAATTGGTTGCCGTGTTTTGGCTACAAAATACACAGTCACTCCACTCTACAGTCTGTTCTATGAATGAGATGTCTCGACAACGTGATAAGGCGCGATATCAAATGCAATGATTATTATGTTCATGTCAGGAGGACGTCCCAAGGCGCTGGACAGTCAGAGGTTTATACCCAGGTTGGGGGTTGGGATCAGGAAGGGTAGAGGACTGGGAGAGTGAGGGTAGGACAGTGACCAAAGATGTGATGGTCGACGAGGAAGGTCTTGAAACTGGCCTTGAAGGAGGCGAGAGAGGGGGTGGAGAGGCTGAAGGCCCGACAGCCAATGGTGGGGGAGGCGGGTGGGGGATGTGAAGCCGGCCGGAGCCTACTGAGTGGAGAGAATGGACAGGTTGGTAGGGGCTTAGTTAGGAGTTCACAGAGGTGGGGGGGAGTGAGGCCATGGAGTGCTTCGAAGGTGAGGACCAGGAGCTTGAACTGTACTCTCTCAGTGATGGGGAGCCAGTGGAGCCGGGCGAAGATGGGGGTGATGGGGTAACGAAACATGACCCTGAACACATCCCTAAACAGTCACTGAACACATCACAAAACACACACTAAACTTGTGTCTCAGTGAGTATCTTGTGGAGTCCCTGTAGCTCAGGGGTTAGAGCGCTCGCCTCGCAAGCGAACGGATCTGGGTTCGATTCCCAGGTGTGTCAGGGCAAAACCTTAAGCAAGTTTCCTTACCCCCCCACACACACACACTTGTTACTCACGCCCCTGTTTACCAGCAGTCAGTAGGAACCCGGTCGTCAGTCGATTGGCGGAATGCGTTTCTGGGGGTAATAATAACTTCAAAAAAATAACAATAATGTGGTCACTCAATCCACAACTGTTTGTGGAGACGTCGCTGTGTGCAATTGGCTGCCATGTTTCAGCCTCCAAAACACACAGTCACTCCACCTTACAGCGTATCCTGTGAAGCGCTTTGAGACGTTCCGAAGATGTGATAAGGCGCTGTATCAGATGGAAGGATTATTCAAAATTTTTTGTAACTATTAAGGCACTCAATCCTCTACTGTTTGTGGAACATTGCTGTGCGGAATTGGCTGCTGCGTTTCTCCCACAAAACAGTCCCTACATTTCCCAGTGTATCCTGTGAAGCACTTTGAGAAGTCTCAAAAACGTGATAAGGCGCTGTGTCAAATGCAAGGATTATTATTATAATAATATTAAAAATAGTGAGGGCGTAAAGTGTGTCTTACAGGAAGCAAAACTATTTATCTCATAAATTAACATATTAATTCCTGACAAAGTGAAAGTGCACCGGGTGCCATTAGAGCCAGTGTCAGGGTCTCTCCACAGTAACAGTAATGATTAACAGCAGACTCTGCCCTGCGTTCAGGTGACAGCCCATATTCAGTTTGTCTCTGTCTCTCTCCCTAACGTGTATATGTGGTGGTTTCCAGCCGCGAGGATGTTGGTGGCTGCTCTGCTCATTCTGGTCACTAATTTGGGTGAGTTACTGGTAACAACATAAGCAAAGGTCCATCTCGTTCATCTCCCACCATCCTGGCAGTCGCTACACATGTCGTGTCACAAACTATATACTGTGTGTGTGTGTGTCTATCTGTCTCTCTGTGTGTCTTGATGTGTGTGAGTCTCTGTGTCTCCTCTCTCTAAGACTTCGCTCACTAATATACAGTCAATTCACTTTACAGTGTCTTCTGTGAAGCGCTTTGGGACGTCCGACGTGAAAAGCACTATATCAAATGCAAGGATTATTATTATTATTATTATTATTATTATTATTATACGACTGTGTGTCTGTGTATGTGTGTCTATACACTGTATCCTGAGATATTATTTTCTTGCAGAAATCTATCCAATTTGATCTTGAAATAAATAACATTTTCTGCTTCTGCCGTCTGTCTCCTTTGGGATCCTGTTTCCCACTCTCTCACTGAGGTCGTTTTTCCACAGAATTGTTCTGAATTGTGGAGTCCTGTAGCTCAGTGGTTGGAGCACTCGCCTCGCAAGTGAGAGTCCTGGGTTTGATTCCCGGGCGGCACAGGGCGAGAGGTTGGGTAAGTTTCCTTACTCCACACACACGCGCCTCTATTTACCGAACAATAAGTGGGAACCACTTGTTGGTCGGTTGGCGGATCGCTTCTCTGGGGATAATAATTCCTTCAAAATAAAAAAATTGGTCACTCAATCCACGGCTCTGTGTGGGTCGCTATTGTGTACAATTGGCTGAAAGGGTTCACCCACAAAATATACAATAATTCACTTTACAGTACAGCCCATGAAGCGCGTTCAGACGTCTCAAAGACGTGATAAGGCACTATATCAAATGCAAGAACTATTAATATAATATTAATAATCATTCCATTTATACAGTGTGCACTGCAGTGCCAAAAAACAGTCATGGTTTGAGTCATCAATTTATTACTTTTTTGAAGGAATTGTTATCCCGAAAAAGTCTCTAATCGGTTAACAACCGGGTTCCGACTTACTGCGAGAAAAACAGAGGCGTGTGTGTGAAGTAAGGAAACTGCCCAACGTTTCGCCCTTCCGCCCGGGGATCAAATCTGGGTCTGCTCACTTGCGAGACGAGTGCTCGAACAATAACTACAGGATTATTATTAATATTATTATTTTTATATTGTGAGATTACCTGGTGATTGACTGTTGTGTGTGTTATGTGTTACAGAGCAGGTGGGAGCTTTCAGTCTGACCGTCACTGAGAGTCACATAGAAGCCACAGCCGGACAATCTGTGTACTTCCTGGTAATGCCCAGTGAACAGGGAAATTTCAGTGTATCGTGGAAAGTCAACAGCATCTTAATCGTATCA